GGACCCCCGAATATTACACTATTGCGGACACATGTTGCCCAATTTATAAATAATACTTCGATAATGTGGGTATGTGGAAATTCTGAGAGTGATCAGAACGTGGTAAAGAGTTAGTTCTACACAAAACGAATAAATATGGATTTAGGCGACTGCGGAAAGATGGAATTTTGAAATGGTTATGTACAAATAAAGTCTGTAGTGCAAGTATTTTGACGGCATCGGTGGCAAAAAAAGATTTAGATAGAATCAACCTAACTATTCAGAGCTATAATGATAACAAAAATCACCAAAACGTGATACAATTTAAAAAAAATTAGTTGTCATTACAGGGAGAAAAAAATATAAATTTAATTAATTTATTATTATATTGAGCTCTTGACTTTAAATGTGTATATTATATTATTATATTGAGCGTTTGCTTTTTACTTTTTTTGATTTTCAATTTTTAGCTTTAAATGTTTATATTATATTATTATATTGAGCACTTGTTTTTTACTTTTTTTGATTTTCAATTTTTAACTGTGTTGTTAAGAACTTTTATAAAATTGATAATAACTTGGCAACGTTTCATTAAATTTCTACCGCAGTCGTGTCATTTTTCGGATGCAACATAAGACCTTTTGTTCTATAATGATCGTCCGCAATCGTGTTGCAAAAAAGGTGAAGCGTCCGCAATCGTGTTTCACCCTTTTCGATTAGCGGAGCGGAGCGACGGCGTTGAGGAGCGTAGCGACGAGTGCCTCTGGCATAGCATCACCGACACACTTCATCAAAGAATTGATATTTTAAATTGCATGTCTGAGCATTTATTCCCTCCTAAAGTGAATTATTAATTATTGCTAGTTTTTAAAACAGGTTTTTTTATAATTTTCACGTTAGTCGCGATAACTGACAAGTACCGCCGAGGGATATTGTGATATAGAGTTGTTTTTAAAATTTTTTAAAATTTTTGATTTCAATTTTTTGAATTTTTAAAGAGCAAGTACGATAATTAGAATCTTTATGCATACTTCCATCCATCATAAAAAACATACAATTAAAAAAAAAAATCAAAATGTAGTTTTGTAATGTTTTTATCGTAGGTATCACGTATTTTAAAAAAAATTACTATTTTATAGTTTTTTTGGTATAACTTCCAAAATAATGATTTGTGAGAATTTTTGAATTAGACTTTTGTATTCAGTGCTTTAAAATACACATTTGGGGGGGGGGGGATCTAAAAAACCACGTGGGAACTAAACTGCATTTGTTCCATAATTTTGCCTTTATACTGTCGCATAATTTTCCACAGCTTTACGTCATTTTCAGTCTGATTTAATTCCTTACGATACTAACAAAAAATAACATATTATAATAATATTTGTATTATATTGTAGTTTAACTTTGTAACTAAATAACTAATACTTCTACGTATCCGAGGAACAAATTTGTAAGACAAACAACCATTTATGCGTTTCGTTGCATTCGTATAATAAAATATTTTCATTATTATTATTTATTGATTATTAGTATGTTTTAATATTGTTATTTACTATACCAATGCTACGGACGTATCCAATGACAGTATTTTCAGAATATTTAGATTCATTTTAAAGTTTTAAACCACTTACCTATCTATTCATATTTTTGAGTGGGTACATACCACAACTTAGTGAACAGATATGTATAATAAACTATTGCATTGTCAAATATCTATGGACTATGGACTAGTGTTGACATTTACAAATACTTTAATAATTAAAATATTATTAGAATATTATTATCACTTATAATTATAATTTATATTTAATTTCCTATTCTGAAAAATGTAAGTATTTTTGTTATCAAAATGGGATATACAAATACAATAATATTAAAAATTGTTTTTTTTAAAGGGTTTGAATAATATATGAAATGTAATTGGGAAAAATTCCTGAAAAATAAGGGGGAAATGAATCCACATGTTACAAGGTTAGAAGTGTTAAAACGCTTTCAGTACACTGCAATTTGTGCGTTGTTCATGATTTTTGGAGGTATATTGTAGTACATACTGTGTAATAAATTAATTAAGTAGATAGGAAGTGAAAATTCTATAAGACAAAATGATAATTTTATATTTCGTAGTTGGTTGCATGATTATTTTTTTTAAATGTAATAATAATAATAATTTTAATGTAATATCATCATTATAATAGGTGTACTATACTTTAATAGTATACAGTATGTAACAGAAATACCTGAAAAATAAACATAAAAAAATAGGGTAAGTGGATCTGCTGTACAGTAGGTGACAATAGTGGACCATTGCAATAGATGGTGTTAAATTTGAATTTAATGATATAAAATAATATTGAACGCGAAAAACGATTCTGAACTATAAAATTACTTAGTATATTTTATGATGTTATTGTGATCAAAGTAATTTATTTGACTATTAGGCTTTAGTACCTACTGCGGTAGGTTAAATTCATTTTTGCCAAAAAAATTACATTTGAAAAGTCGTTATGTGTATAAAATATAATAATGTTCTTTGTACTTACTCAAAAAGTTTCAAGTACTCGCGACTAATATTTTTAAATTATAACAAAAAGCTAAAATTGTTATATTTTCGTTTCAAATATGTAATTTCATAATATTAATTCGAACATATAACAACTATAAAAAAAACTGTGGTCACATATTTTTTAGATTTTTTGGTAACAGAATAACCTACTTATATAGAACCTTGTTTTAAATTTACAATCCTTATCTATAAAAGTTGAACGTTTTATGCATTGATAAATACAAAATAATTTGATAAATGTTGTAAAAATTTGAACTTTAAATGCCTATAAAAAAACGTTTCCACTTATTTTGAATATTTTTCAACTACTGTTGCAACAATATGTATATCTGCAGGAGCCCTGTATTAGAAGTTGAAGTTTTTTGGCAAAACGAATACAATTGTATTGCATTTACAGGAAAAAAGCTGAAAAATGTGAAAACTAAAAATATCAGTAAACAGCTCAAAACGAGTTAAAATATTTTGAAATTTTATCTCAAGTATGTGAATTAATAAAATAAACATGTGGTGTAAATTTTGTGTACCCATAGTTTTGATTTAACTATTTAAGATAATCGTTAAATGAAAAATAAAGTGAATATTCAATGTTGTAAAACTCTGAACTTCAAAATAAGCTCGTAAAAATTGAATTTAACTTTCTGGTAGACTTTTTTTTTGATCAAGACTATATGGAATCTTGAATTAAATTTTTAAATCTTACATATAAAAAGAAAATTATGGATTTAGGCTCAACTTTTTTTTTATTTCCATTAACAACCCACTTATGAGGAACACCCTGCTTTATATTTCAAGTTTTTTATTGACATTAATTTAAAAAAAAAAAATGATAATGATCGATAATTGTATATGCCTTGTGCATATTAAAAGCTCAATTTATTTTGAAAATTGTATGGTGTATAGAAAATTCCTAGTACATACATTCAGATTACGTTTCACGTATCTACGATAATTTTTTTAAGATTTATACCAAAAATCAAAATTGATTTTGTCAAACCTGGTTAGAAAACAAAAAGACTATCATAAATTATAACCATTATATTTGTTCTTATTACAGCAATACATTTGAAATATTAGCCCAAATTGGTACAAAGGTACCAGAAATGTAATAGAACGAACAATGGTTTGTACGAAAAGACGGTTCCCTGCAGTATTATCTATCGGTATTCGGTTCCAAACACCTCATCGACTCTGCTCACGATTTCTATTACAACAGTATTAAGTAATATATTAACAAAAGCTAATATTATTTCTAAATGAGAAAATGTGACTGATCCCATACCTCCAAGTGCTCACCTTTTTTCCAAAAAAAAGTTCTTTAAATGTAATTAATTTTTTTACAAAACAATAATATAGAAATAAATTTTTATTTTAGATTCTGAGCGGAGCTCTAATCTGTATTCATTTTACAGTGAAATGTTTTCTTTTTTTTTGTGGTGTTGTGGTGAGAATCTAGGTGGTGCATTCGAGAGGTCAAAATTTAGTTGGTTTCAAAGTCGCCGGGGAAAAAAGCTAACAATTAAGAAAAGCGGGAATTTTTACTCAAAATCTATTTTCGACAAAATCGATTTTAATTTTGGAGCAATTCTAAAATAAAGACTGTATAATGTAGATTTATAAAAATAGTAACCTAAAAATTATAGTATCATTTTCCATGTACCATATACAATTTTTTTAATATTTTGACTCATGTCGATCAATTTATAGACGTATGAAATTTTCGATTAGCATTCGTATTTTTATTTTAAATAATATCAATAAAACTTTTTTTTTCTCAGTCAAAAAACTTGAAATTGTAATGCAAAGTCCCCCGTAAGTTATTGTTTGTAGAAATGTCTATCTTCACCAAAAAAAAAAAGTACCCGAAAGTTGAATTAAATTTTTATGGGGGTTTGAAATAGAACATTGGATATTAACTCGATTTTTCATGATTATCTTGTTTTGTAAATGTGAATCAAAGATTTTAAATAATATGCGATTCATTTTAAATACTATACTTGAAATAATTAAAACCAATGTATGATTGAAATACCAAGAACTATCAAAAAATTGGTGTTGGCAAATAATTTAGATAGAGATTAGTACTAATTTCATACCTATCATACTTGATTTATGCAATAGGTATTTGCAATAGGTATAAATGCTATTGCTTGTTTTGCTGTGTTGAAAAATGTACATACCTATAAAATGTTTTATTGTTATTCATCCTAAATTATAATATGAAAATACTACAATATTATATTATTATATTATTATACATTATCTTATGAATATACTGTGATCCATGGCCCTTGGGCTCACTTACACTAAAAAAACATTTTTAAACCTCTGTAATAGAGTCTTAAATGTAGTTATGATTAATAAGTTTTGTGGCGTAATAATATGAATATCACTACAATATAATATACTTTATTATAAAGTATATTTACTATTATTTACACATATTTTTTTTATTTTTTAGCCATGCAGAAGAAAACAACATACCTACAATCAAATCCAATTTTGATTCAAATAAAGAATATAAATTCATTAATCAAAGGCGAGTATTTTTAATTCAATATTTAATAAACGTATAGATTTTTATTAAACAATTAATTGTTTTATAAATGTTGTCACAATACAGGAACAAAAAAATGATACAAGACGTGACCATACAGGTATATCAACATAACTACAAATACTTATTTATGCATTAATTTATGATGAAAATACAAATTATTGTATTACAGATGAATTTAATGACGATTTTATAGCATCATATAAAAGAAAAGGTCATATTATGAAAAACAAAAATTATATTTGTAACAGAAAAATCTATAGTAGATATACCTAATTCAGAATAACTCCATATTCATCAGTTATTATAAGGGAAGCACAAATCTAGAATTGTAGTAGCTTTAACTGAAAATCACAATGGATAGTTTTTAGTAGGTACCTACAACTAATTTAATTATGTCATTAAAGTATCAGTTGAAGAATTATAGCTGTATTGTAATATTGTACCCTGTATAATATGTATAAATTATTTATTTATTTTTTGTAATAATTTAATATTAAATTCCCAACATCATTAAAAATTAGTTTCCAAATATCAAGGAACAAAATATAAGAAATTTAATTTTCAATGACATAATGACTTTAAAACTAAAAATGCACTAAACCAATTTATTTACTTAATTTCAAGTTACCAGTTTTTATAAGAATCAAGAAGTATAGGTACTTTACCTACAAGATAGTATAAATTCATTGAAATTTGAATGATCTTTTTTAAACTCAATATAATGAATCATGTCCAAATGATAAAAATGATACTATATAATATGAAGGAAAGCAAAGTTAAATTTGTATGCTTTTTGACCAAACCAATAAAATTTTATTTACATTTATAGAAAAAAAAATGAAAATTGAAAATGTCCATCAACAGCTTAAAACTAGTCAATATATTTTGAAAAATATATCACGCATATGAATTGATAAAATTAACTTATAGTGTCAATTTTAAGTGTCTAGATTAATTTGTTTTTGAATTACAACAAAATAAGAAAATCGCTACAAGAGGAATCGACTGAATATCCAATGTTGTAAGAATTTCAACTTTAAATGCTCATAACAATTTAATTAGAATTTCAGGTAGAAATTTTTTTTTTTGATAAAGGTAGACCAGCTGATAAGGAATCTTGTGTTATATTTTCAAATCTTAGGTACGAAAAGAAATATTTTTATAAATTTCTAACTTAAAATAATTTGCAAATTTTCGTATGATTTTTACGCATTATATCAACATTTGAAATTCAGACGTTTAAAATAAATTACTGTAGACTTTCATTTTTAGAAAATGTGATGGTGTATAGAAAATGCTAACATAAATATTCAGTGAAAATGTCATGTATCTATAGTCATTTTCATAGAATAGCACTGAAAACGAAAATCAATGTTTTTCAAAAACTAGTTTTGTGTAAAAATTTCGATTTTTTTTATCTTGTGTTTTTTCGTCGTTTTTGAAGACTATTGAGAATTTTAAGTTTTGACCTCTTGAATGCATCAATTAGATTCACTTTCATACCAGAAAAGTAGCTGTTGAAGAAACAACTGCTCCAAACCTCGATGACAGACACAAAAATAAAAATAAGAAAATAGAAATGCGTGCATCATTGTAAAATCAAAACATTCATTTCTTCGCTCAGAATCTAAAATTACAGTTCATAAACACGCACGATTTAAATTTAAATTTACATTTCAAAATTGATATTATCTAGCAAACAATTAAAAATTGTGTTTAAAATAATTTTTGTCATATTAGTTAAAAAGAAATTATTTGATAAGTGCAAAATATAAAAACAAAATAATGAAAAATAAAAAATAAAAAATAAAAAATAAAAAATGCTCAAAAACTTTTAAAAAAATTACTTCAATAATCACCAAAATTACCTAAAGACAAAAAAAAATGTTGAAAGTTAGTTGTATAGATTCGTATGTTATTGAAACACATTTTAAGCATGATGCGAAAGCCATCAACATCCGGCCTTATTACTTATTAATTAGGTACTATGTTCAGTTTCTGTTATAGTGTTATACTGTAATAGACGTCGTATAGTTTATTACTCATCTGGAATATTGTTTTTAGTTTATTATTTTGCAAATTGCACTTCTTGCTGTACGAAAATATTTTGAGATACCAATAATAGGTAAGTGGTAACAAAAAACCCGTCTACTCGTATATCTTATTTCTGTAAGTTAGCGACAGGCTATATAGTCATTGAGTTCGGTAGCGCTAGCAACGGCCCCGTCAACTAGTTAAAGTGACCCATCGGGAATTTCCTGATTTCCCGATGGCCCTAATCCGTCCCTATTAATAGGTACTACAAGACTAAAGTGTTTCACCCAAATTATTCAATTTATACTTATGTTGTGACGTAACAACCTGATTACAAATATGTTAATGTTGAGGTCAGGAACATTTAGCATTTAAATAACTGTACTATACAATACCGACAATAGAATACATATTCAATAGCTAGGTGTCTTTCAGACTAACCATAATAAGATATATATTAAATTGAGTAAAGTTATGGTTAATAATTAGTGGTTTGTCATTCGCCACTCAATAGAGTTTTAGAAAATCTTGGTATTTTTTACAATTGAAAACGAACAGTCGAGTAGCACATGTTTCTAGTCAAAAATAATCATAACAATACCTATAGTAGTCTATATTATTATACATTTATACAATCCACTAATATAATGACAGACGGTGAAACTGCACCATTGAAATAAATCAATCTACTTACTTGATTTAACATAACAACTTATATACCTAAGATATTTGTATTCATTATTTTACCTCAGTTTATATAAATATTAAATATACCTACTGGGTCTGCTTCTGAAGATAAGATCTCAAAATGATTAATCACAGATCAAGAAAACTTGAAATTAAATAATTTGTATAGAATTATATGAATAAAAATTTCCTAATAAAATGCCATAAACATTTCTGAAGTTACCCAAATATGCAGATTAAAAAAAAAGTATTGTTATATCCTTGTCAGTCCCTGAAAACGATAATAATAAGGTCAGTTTGGGGCATTCTTTTTCCTATTAAACGAGTAAACGACAACGTCAGGTTTATTTGAAATATTGAGTAGAGTATACGTAGTATATAGTATATACGGGCCCATGCCACACGATTTATGTGTTGAAGGGTATTTTCATAACTTAAAATTTTAAAAATTAAACTAAGATTTTCGATAAACCATCAAATATCTATAGATTCTGTGTATGTTTGTCGAAGAAGACATTTTTAACAAAGACGAAGTTATATTAATATACGGGAACATTTTCAAGTAATAAAGAAAAAAATTATTATTTTATAAATAATTAATAATTTTTTTTTCAATAAGATAAATGTATTCGTTTAGTATGCCTAGTACCCTTTGTGGTATCGCGCAGATCTACAACTTACGAGGCCGTATTTAGGGGGCACGAGTACCCCAGGTACAATATGCCACTGTCACCAAAAAATGTATGTAAAATTAGCTTAAGAATTAATGTTAAATTTAAATTAAAACAAGCAGGTAGTTTAAATATTTAACCTTGAGTATTATGAATTATCTTATTACTACTATTAATATATATTATTGTTGTACACTATCGTCACTATCGACAAGATATTGTTACTTATAGTAAAATTCTTCAATTTGGATACATTGATATTTCATATTTTTACAGTTTCTAATGATTGAGTCTATGTTTAAAATCTTTGTAATAATGAAAGGTTTTTTTCAGTATCAAGAATAAACATTAATAAAATGTAAATGAGTATGATAAAACTACTACTTAATAACACAAAAAATTTAGTTTTGCTGTACTATATACAGTAGGTGATCACTGTATCTAAGTAATATTTATTGGTAGGTCACTGTAATGTATGTGTAAAATTTGAATTCAATGAAAAATCATTCATAATTGTAACTATTTACATAATAATTTAAATTTGTCGTATGTACAATAGACCAATAGACGATTTTGAGCGGAGACTGTCGACCCATATTTATGAAAGTATATTTTATTGCAGATTTATATTGCCATAAGTAATTCATGTACTTATAATAGTTAAATATTATGGCAGGTAGAACTATTTTTTTCCCTTTAAAAATTGAATTTATTATTTGATAATATCATTATAATAAGTATTAAGCATTGTTTCATAAAATATTACTAGCTGTTAATAACCATACAAACACAGATGTATTGTAGGAGGGTGTAAATAGGTTCGAGGTCTGAATGAACCATACAATTTATGAATCTAAATATATTAAGTCAGCGGGGGACTGAACAAAGATATTATGTAAATAAAATGTGGCTGAAAAGTCAAGAAGTCGGATCTTATAGCATGTACTTCTGCCCCATAGTCACAGGGTTTCATCAAATATTTTTTAATATTTTTTGAATTTTAACAAAACAACTGGAATTGATATTATTGTATAATAATGACATCAAAATTTGTACTTCAATAGTTCAATCTCTCGTAACAAATATATTATGTTACTTTATGTAAACGTATTTATAATTTTCAATAAAAATAACGTATTAGTAACATTATATTTAATTGTCAAACCTTAGGTGTTAAAATAAAATATTGCATGTATTTTGAACTATAAAATAAATAATAATCTTCATATTTTCTAGATTTTGAAGAATTTTTTTGAAAATTACAATATTAATCGCTTAAAATAAAAATCTTGTAAGTCGTGACTATATATTTTGGATATATTTTACTTGCAGTAAGAACGTCATCGTCATACATTTATTTATTTTTGAATTGCAACAAAAGTAACAACATTTTGAAAATAACCTCCCTCCTCGCAAAGTACAAACTGGATCCAATTTTCTACCAGAAATCACACTCAAAATTGTATTTTTACTACTTTCTGATGGTGGAACCAGTTAAAAACAAAAACAAAACACCCAATGTAAAACAATTTAATTACATATACGCTATAAGAATCCATAGCACTATATTATAATATAGATGAGAAAATAAAAAAGAAGTGTAAAACAGTAAATCAAATGAATAAATATATTTCTAAAAATTAACAATCTGTAATCCAAATAATTGATTTATAAAAAAAATGTCGTAACATTGCTCGGCATCCCTGCTCGATCGCCGTTCACTCGAGGACGCTCCACCCCATATGTTGTCCGCACTAACAAACAGTTGAGTTGCAAGAATTTCAATTAAATATAAAAAATCGTACAAGAAAAAATCGGTTTTTTTATGAGTTAATTCCAATTTCATCAAGATTCAAACTTCAAATGTTCATAAAATAATAAAATAATTGTGGCTGTGAGCGTGACTCAAATGTGTGTGTCAACACGTTCATGATTAAATTAATAAAATACGTTAGTATGAGCTCATAAATGTATTTAAAACCTATAAATATATTACATAATATATTGTAACAATAATTTGTAATTTATTTTGTTCATTTCAATATATCTATGTGATGTACCTACAACTGCTAATATTGAATTAGACGAACAAAAAATTAATTATTGTTCTAAGATTAATATCGAAAGAATGATATCAAACGTTCCAAAAGAAATCAGTTGGATGTTTTGCAATTACACCAGATCAGTTTGTGTTAGAAATAAAACAAAAAGATAATATATATATGCTATACATAGGTACCTGAAAATGTACAAGTTCAAATCAGATTTAACGAAGATAATATACAAAATAATACACATAGACCTTCGCCCAATGGACAATAGAATTATATTTTCAATAAAAATGCCACTAAGGTGATACTTGGAATCAACTCAAGAGTTATACAATATGTACAATTATGTGTTATAAGTTATAATAATATAACATTCACCAAGACTAAATTATCATAATAAATTGTTGTACTGCAGACTACGCAGATCGTCAAAGTCGAATGCACACCTGCCGTGCGTTGTTCACGACATGGAGTGTCAAGGGTCCGCGTAGCTTGATCGACGATTTCAATCCATAATATCTAAATATTTTGTTCGTAATTATTGCATTATTAATGAATCGAAATATATACGGTTGTCGCGTAGAGCGATAATATTCCACGGAGCTCCTCGAGGTTACGACGGCGCTGATTTTTACGAGCTTATGTGGAGTGGGAGTCACCGCCGACTATCCTCAAATAATATGGTTCACTTCACCGTTTTTCCGATAAAAGCAGCACACGACGACTAGAAAAATAATTCAGATATTTCGACGTGACATAACATTATTTTCACCGCTGAACTGTGTAGCTCATTACTGAAGACCAGATTTAATTGATATTGCAACTTTTTTTGCATTCAAGATAAACCAAATGTGATCAAATGTGTGGCCCATATATACTTTATGTGTTATGCTTATTCAATTTTATGAAGCAATTTTTGGCAATTTTCCAAATTTCGTGTGTTTAAATGAACCAAAATACCTATTTAACTCAGCTACATTTATTGTATAAAAACGCTAAAATAAAAACCTACCGAGTTTTAGTCGTGAGTAGATATTTTATGGTTCTATAATTATAAAGCCATTATTATAAGAGTCATTATCAATATATACACATAATTTTATTATCATCGGTACCTATCTATTATCCGATGTGGATAATTTAGTTTTCTAGAATGTTCGCTTTAATAATTAACAATTACAAGTTGGGGAACATGGTTAAATGCTGCACTTTTCTATGCAAATAATTTTGAAAAATTTAAAAGTTGATGTTTTCAGTATGGAAAAATCGAAACAGCTTGTAGCACTATAGCTTGTTTTTACTATTCAGTAAAATGTGATTTAGAGTTCTTAAAATTACACTTAACTGAGTTATCCATTAATCTTAAAAACTTAGAAGCATCGAATAGTAAACTACTTAAAAATATGTTTATAAAACTGAAGATATTTTAACAAATATTCCTGGTCCAGATGGAAAAATATTAGAGACAAATTTATGTATATGTAAATTTAAAAAAAATTAAGGCTATAAAACTATTGAATCTTATTATGAAGTCAAGTCAGGTAAAAAAGATGTTAATTTAGATATAACGCCTATCCTATTGAATTGTTTTAAATATGTACCAATTGCTAGTGTAGTCGTAAAACGAAGTTTTTCTTTGAACAAACATATTTTAAGTAATAGATGATTTAATTTTAATAAACATAAACTGGAAAGGTATTTAATTATCAATTTTAATTCAAAAAAGTAACATTTATATAATTTTTTTATATAACTTGAATTTTTATAGTGCATTTTATGATGAAATTCTTGCGTATTTTTTGGTGCAATTATACTATTTTAATATGCAATTTTTGTGTGTTTTCAATGCAATTAAATCCGGTCTTTACTCATTAGTCATTACATATGAAACATAGCATTTGAATTTAACGTTAGAATTTTTTTTTTCATTTTTTCAACACAACATGTTTAATAGTTTTAACCAAGTTATCAAAAAAAAAAAAAATCCAACGAGAGATAAAGGTGAAAAGTTCAGGTATTTTTAACGATGTGAAAACATTTTTTTTTTTGAGTTGTGTGTCATGAGTTCATGACTAATGAGCTATAGAGTTTGGCGATGGACGTGTTTTAGCTTATATTTTTGAAGGGCGTAGCGTCCCTTCAAGTTAAGTGTTGTCATGGCCCTAGACTTCGATCTCAAAAATTGCCGCCCACCGTCGTCCGTATTTAGTACCTATTTATTTTAGTCCCGTATTTATTTAACCTTTTAGTTTTTTCTCGATTCGTTTCGTCTTTTCGATCGCCGCCCGTGCTCCGATCGCGCACTTGAAGTTTTTTAAGGGCCGCAGATATTCGGTTCGTTTGCGAATTCGGTCCGTAGCCTCCGCGGTCGCGTTCGCAATCCGAGCGCGCTGAAGTCTGTACCTATATGGCTACATACATATATCTATATACATGTCGTTTTAATAAAAAATAAATAAATTCAACAAAGTACATAAAATTGCGTTGTGTTTGTCGTTTGTTTACCATAGTATAACATATATGAGCGAGGCTTATAATCGAATACCTTTTGATCGAACCGTAGGTTTTATTTGATAATTAGAAATTTAATGTAGCACACAATTCGTGCAATAAGCCACAGTCATTAAATTATCGAAATATACACCTGAAAATCTTTTATTTTTTAACAACATATGTTAGAAATTGCAGTGTATTCACATTTCGTATGTTACCGACATGTCTGTGATGACATTTATGATTTATATGCGATATTAATTGTGATATCATTTCGGTAGTTCAAATTAACTTTGAATAAATTGTATTCAACATTTATATATATATACACTATATTAATGAGTGAGGTTTTTAATGAAATACCTGCTCGGTTGAACCGTATGTTGCTCTTGCTCATATTGGTAATATTAGATATTTAATTTAGCAAACAGATATTATATTTATGCATCAAAATAAACACCCGATTACATGTTCGTGTATATGATTCCGTATAAGTTGAGCAGGTCGGTCAATGTTGTTAAATAATACAATATTTTTTGATGTTGTACCTATATATTAAACAATATGTGTTATTTATTAGTCGGTTGAATGATATCTATGTCCGTCGATAATAATGCGTCAGGTAGTGATTTTTCGTCAAGGTTTCCAAAACTAAGACCAAAATATGGCAGAATAATTTAAAATTACACTCGCCCTTATTTCCCAGCCCAAATTGTGAACCTCTATTATGAGTAAAAATTGACACCCGACGAGTTAGAATCGAAGGACATTTGTTGTCAAACAAACTATAAAAATGTATATTATACTTTGAATACATTTTATAATTCAATAAATGTACACATTAATTAATTCATTAATTTTCTGATTAGCTTTAGAGTACACATCTCGCTGTATTTGATTTAATAACTCGGTTTGGTGATAATTTGATTATAAAACTTATACAATTCGACTATCGGCCAACAACGACAAAGATTTTTCATTTATTGAACAATAATACCTATGTCTATTAGGAAACACTTAATTTGGACTGCTATGAACGGTATGTTGAATTAGGGGTGAAAAAGAGCAATCATTTTGTTACCATCTGTCAGTCGTCCAAACGAACAAGTCTATAATATAATAAGTTGTAGTTCTGCAATACATGGATATAATGATTAAACAAAAACCGATTACAAATTATGGTATGTATTTAATCATGAACATAAGTTTTGTAATTTTCACACAAAAATCAGTTTTATATATAGTGAACATCATAATTTAATAACTGCGGCCAAATAAGGTAAAAGACCCAGCCAACTGCCCACATTCTGGATGTAAACACTGATCATTAGATTTTAATATTTCTGCTCCCGTAGGCTGTTCAAATGGCACACATAACGACTTGGCTCCCATTGTTGAAGCTCCAACTTCTGCAGTACCATCATCCCTATAAAATAATTAATACAAAAATATTAAATAATAGTAAATCTTGAACTAATGTGAATAAAATATGTTCATACAATGTGGTATCCCGTTTGATATTATCCTCGCAAATGGGTCGTCCACAAAACGGTATCAATAATAAACGTTTTGCTGCTAAATGTGGAGCACACTCAGACCATTTACGACATATCACAACATTTTCTTTCATTTCCTGTTCTGCTTTGAGGTACATATCTTGCTGTATTTGATTTAATAATTCTGTTATTCTTACAACCATCTTATCGTTTCCTCCATCATCTTTTGTACGTCCCTCTAAGGGAATAGTTAGTTTCTCTCCATTATCTCGCCGCACAGCTACCATTTGGTTACGATCCAAATCTTTTGGTCCAATTTCTAACCTCAATGGAACCCCCTAAAAATCAAATTTTACAATAACAATATTGGATTATACATAATTTAAAAATGAATAATTAAATACTTTCAACTCCCAGTGGTTAAACTTCCAT